GTGTGTGTGTGTGTGTGTGTGTGTGTGTGTGTACACAGGAATTCCTGGAGTCTTTGTTTGGAGGTTCCTGGCTGCCCTCCTGGGACCCTGGCTCTGTAGACCTGCAGCGGCTCAGTGTGCTTCCTTTGAAAGTCTTCCCGGCCGTTCCCACCACCTTACCGCCCAGATCTCACGCTGGCCGTGAAGCAGAGGCATCTCACTATGGGTGGTTGGTTTTCAGAGGAAAATGGCTAAGAATCCAAATGAAGATCTGTGGCTCTTTCCTTACACACCCTTGGCTTTCTTCAGTATCAGCTGTTTCTACAGGAATCAGGGTTTGAGCCCTTATCTTTTTTTTTAAATTTGTTCTAATTAGTTATACATGACTGTAGAATGCCCTTTGACACATCATACATAAATGGAGAATAACTTCTCATTCTCCTGGTTGTACATGATGTAGAATCACACAGTCATGTAGTCATATATGCACATCGGGTAATAATGTCTGATTCATTCGATTAACCTTTCTACCCCCATATCCCTCCCCTCCCTTCAACTCCCCTCTGTCTAACCCAAAATACCTCTGTTCTTCCTTAGCTTCTTCCCCTCTTTGTTGTGAATTAGCATCCACACATCAGAGAAAACATTTGACTTTTGGTTCATTGGGTTTGGCTTATTTCGCTTAGCATCATATTCTCCAGCTCCATCCGTTTACCAGCAAATATTCTGTTGTGTATATATACCATATTTCTTTATCCATTCACCTGTTGCAGGGCATCTAGGTTGGTTCCACAGTTTAGCTATTGTGAGTTAAGTGGCTATAAACATCGATGTGGCTGTGTCCCTGTAGTATGCTGATTTGAAGTCCTTTGGGTATAAACCAAGGTCTTTTGTATATTTCTATGTATGATATTTTCAGTTGTCATATGTTGTAAGCCTTGTATGACATAAGTGGGCAATTGGTACTGGTCCTAATTCTTTTAAATTAGACCCTCTCCCCCAAAATACGGTTGGACAAGTTGTTCAAAGGCCTTGACGGCATTATTCTAAACACTCAGCAGAGCAATAGTGTCAGTCCTCTTGGGTATTGGTTCCCTCAGCCAGGGCCAGCAGGTCTCCTGTGGAAAACCCCCTTCCCTGCTCCAGATGGTCACTCCCCGCCCTGGCCATGTTTTTCTTCCACTGCTCTTTATATGCAGATTCCTAGGTCTGTAGGTGAGAGTGTGGCCTGGGGGCTTCTTTAGTACTTGCTTTTGGATCCCTTCCTGTCCAGGTTGAAAGCAGCTCCCACAGGTGTGGCGTGTGTCTCATGAGTGCAGAATATTGCTATCTTCATCACCTGGCCCATGGGCCTGGGCATGGGAGGAAAGTCAGGAGGTCCACATCCCATGCTGTATTGGGGGATTGGATTTTTCTTAGTACGCATGGGGTTTGAGGAGATTGAGTAAATCTTCTCCCAAACATTGGTGATTTTTATAGTTGAATATCCTCCTGTGTGGACCCCACCCTTTGGGGGTGGCTGCTGTTCCCCTGGCTTGTAGCTTGGGGTTTTTAGGTTTATCTTTCCACAATGGAGAAGAGTGGGAATTGCCTCTAGTTGACTCATGAGGAGACAGAAATGCAAGGGGATAAGCACCTGGTCCGAGGCCACGAGGCTGTAGGTGGTAAAGTCATGTTTTAAACCCAGATCCACCTGGCCGTAAGCCTGCACATCTTCCCCTGCACTGCCTCGCTTCTCAGAACACTGCCCTAAACATACGATCATGGAGGACGCTGAGACAACACCATCTAGAGCCTCATCCTGCTGCTGCCCCTAAGGAGATGCAAGATACCAGCAAGTCTGTTAATTTCCTCCAAGAGCTCCAAGTCTAAAAGCCTCATCTTCCTTCCACATGAGACTTGTTACTGTGTATTTCCTTTTATTTTGAACTTCATGCATGCTTGCATTGGGTGGAAGGATTCTGTAACTATGGGGCTATGTGACTTTTAAGATAGTCTCCCATCTCCTCCCCACCACCATGTTTGGAAGGTTCTATTATTGGGAATTGGTTCTGAGGCTCCTGATAGGGAATCCAGAAGCCCTCTGCCATGATTCTGAAAAGTAGCCCTTGTCTTTTTCTTTCCCAACCAGCACGACAGATGGGAGAGTAAATGGCCGTACTCTTTAACAAAGCCATTTTCTAGGTTGCTCCTGCTTGGAGGTGGCAGTATTAGGTTCCACAATCTGATAAGTCTGTGGGGACAACAGATGTACAAGCGCCTTATGGAAGTGGGTTCACAGGACAATAATATAGACTCTAGAGGGACTCTGTTTATTTGGGGACATTGGCAAAGATGGAGGAGATGGAATTTAGGGGTATGATGTGACGTATTTATCTGTATCATTTTCTGTCCTGAGTTTTGCTACATATAGAGCAGGCATTGGATTAGCTTCATAAGTGCATTCAGGGAGCTCATTAGAAATGCAGAACCTGCATCCACATTAGGTCTACTGACTCAAAATGTTCATATTGAAAATATTCTCATGAAATTTACGTATGCATTAGCATTTCAGAATTCCTGCTCTTGAGTAATAATGAAAAAACACTGGCAAATAGGATCAGAAGAATGGATCTGAAGGATGTGATAGAGGGAGAGCGTAGTAGAAGATTTGTCTTGGATGCTAGAATGTCTAAATAAATAAATAATAATCAACTGGGAATGCATTGTGAAGCTTCGCAATAAGAATGATAGATCATGCTTTAGAGTGTAACCTCCCCCACCCCTCCTCTGCCTCCCATCTTCCACAGTCCTAATTAATAGGCGGGTCCTTGCTGGAATGCCAGAGTTGGTTGTTGTGATGTGGACCTCTATGTTGGGATACAAAGGGCGGTCCAGCGGGGAGCAGAGAAATTTGGAGCTTTGGGGGCAGGGAGATAAGGAATCATTCTTTCCTTTAGTCACTTTTCAGTCTCTGAACAATAAACATGGGCAGACTAGCTCTTTGTAAGAAATAGCTCATATGGGGCTGCCCAGCTGAATTTCCATGAAGACTCATAACTCTTATTGCCTGCAACTGAGCAGAACTGGGGACAATGGGGACTGACACTAGTCTATGGGGAATATTAGTTAAGAATCTACTTTGCTTTTTTAAGAAAGAATAACTTACATTAATTACTACAACAAACACTTCCCCCTGTATCTCAGGGCTTAACATGATATATTTCTTGCTTAAGTTACAGTTTAATGTGTATTAGGTGACTATTCTGAGCATCAAATCAGGGACCTAAACTGTTTCTTTTTGTAGCTCTGTCATCCTATGGCTTCAGGTCACCTTGGCCTCATTCAGACTGAACAGAGGATTGTGTGGGATGCTTTGATAAACTAGACCTAAATTGACATCAATCACTTCTACCCATGTTCCCATCAACTGGAATTTGGTCACATGGGCATACCTCGTTGCAAGAGAGGATGGGAAATATAGTTGAGAGGAAATAGAAGAATCTGTCATTGTTTCAAATAAGCAAGAGAATCAGTACTGCCTCACTCATCTGGAAAGTGATGGAAAATCCCCTCTGCCTTGTGTGTTTACTTAGCTGAAACCCATTTTTCTGAGACAAAATGTGTTTTTATGTGTGTGCTCTGTGTAAGTGAGTGTGGAGGTACCATTTTACAACGTCCTAGAATAGATGGGTATAGAGTGAATGCCAGGGAGTTTCTTTGAGGACAACTGGGAGGAATTGGAGACCCTGCAAGAATCTTTATGTCCCTCAGCATGCTCCATTAAAGTCAAGGGTGACATATCTGGTTGGGACTTATAAAGGAGATCATGGATTCAAAGTCAAGAGTGAGAAAGGAAGGGAGTGGGGAGGAGAGTAGGAAGGAGGGCAGCAGGAGGGGGGAGGGATGGCTTCAGCCACCTAGTTGGTACAGCTCACTCCAGGAGGAGCCAGGGGTGGGGTCTGGCTGGCTCAGTCTCTCGGTTTGCTTCCTGATTGTCAAGCAAGGCTCTGGACTGCTGTCTATCTCTTCCTCTGACCTTTCCCCACCCCATCCGCTTGCTCTCATAAGAGGCACTGGGTATATTCTCTGTCTCGGTTCTGTCTGGCTGTTGATTCCATTTCTTCTACTCCTGGATTCACCACTAATTCTTGCTTTTAAACCAGGGGCCATGAAATGACAGGGGAAAAGAGTGAGTACCCATCCTGGGCCTGTTATTATACATCTGGCATCCTTGCAAATAAAACCTTTGAGGTTGGTGCTAATAATCTCAATACTTAGAAAAGAAAACAAAAATCTCTGTGATAAGAGAGGTTAAATAGTTTTTCTGTGGCCACATTTCTAATAAGTGCTAAAGTTAGAGTTTGAGACAGGTATCTGACTCCAGGGATTGGGCTTTTTCTTCCAGCTAGGATCAGCCATGAACCCTCATTATCCCACCACCCCAGCCCCGGCATGTTTGTTTCTCCTGGTGACACCTTTGAAGTTCAGCTCTGTGGCCCAGCTTCTTAGCCTGTGACAATAAGTGGCTGAAAGTGGCCATTACAGAGTATGGCCTCCATAGGACAGCCACTGAGATCCTGCATGAGACTTGGAAAAGAAAAAGAGATTAAAAATCGGGAGTGAGAGCTGGAAGGCAGAGGTAGGATCTAGAACTTTTGCTTCTTCCAATCTCTATGGGATATATACTTGGGTGACACTTAAGAAGTCATTGTTGAATGAATGGAAACCCCTGTCCCTAGGATAATAGCCTTGGGCTGCCCAGAGGTAGATGTAGGGATTTTCCTACTGGGTGTTTGCTCACTGTCCTCCCGTGAGGCGATGGCAGTTGGGGGACCCAGAAGCTCACCACAGGATCATTTTTCTTGGTAAACAGTGTGCACCAAGACCCCTGTGTGCAGTTACGTCACGTGCTATGTCAGTGTGCGGAGAACAGCATGGTGAGGACAAACACGGGACTGTTTGAGTCCTCGCTTAACCTGTACTGACAGGTAAGTTCATGTAACAGGTACCAGTTGCAATTCTGTCATTGTTAAATTTTGAATAAGAAGCAACTATATAGTGAAGGCTGGTGTGTGTGTGTGTGTGTGTGTGTGTGTGTGTGTGTGTGTGCTGGCAAAGTGCAAGCCCTCAATAAATTGTAGCTATTATCTTTATTCCAAGCAGATATAATCTCTGCCCTGTAGAAACGTGTGCTTTGAGCCAGCTAATATTTACTCTGATTCCTTATTGAAACAATAAATGGCAGAGATGGGGCAGGATCAGCTTTATGTGCACTAGGAGCTGGACTGACCCAAGGCTTTCCTACTTAGAGCCTTGAGTGGCAAGGACCAGTGGCATCAACTGGGAGCTTGGAAGAGATTCAGACTCTCAGGTCCTACCCCAGATCTCTGAACCAGAATCTGCACGAGAAGCAGATCTCTAGTAACGTGCATCCACATTGAAGGCACTGGGAGGATCTGCAAAGCTGAGATGCACACCTTCAGACTGCAAGGAGGATAAGTCATAGCTCCAGAAGGAAGTGCTGATGATTTTCTCCTTGGAGCAGAGAGAGGAGTATCCATGGGCTCTCCTCCATTGTCTGAAAGAGGACTTCCTGGGTGCCATGTTTGGGAGGGGTATGATGGAGATGTGGGGATTGAAGCTTCCCTTGGATCTACTTCTGATCGCACCCTAATTGCTTTTGGTGGCCTGTTGCCGGGGTGCGTGGATGGACTGCTGAGTCAAGAGCATGCTGAGGAGGAGAACGGAGTGTGTGTCTGCTGCTGGTGGCCTCTGCAGTGGTGACCCATGGCCTCCACAGAGCGCAGTGCAATGGTTGCTATGGTAACTGCCGTGCTTGGTCAGGGGTGACTAGCTGAGCTGCAGGAAGTGGATCACCGGCCCTCCTGTTGCCGACACAGTGGTGCAAGTGTGGTGTGGCCCCACCAGCTTGGGAATTTGACAGGGGGGCAGAAGTGAGCTTTCTTGTTCCTTATTTGGTTGTAAGTCCTTCACTCTGGGGGCACCAAGAAAATGAAGAAATGAAATTAATATGAAATTAAAATTATTTAATGCTAGTATGATAAAACACAAAGCACCTGAAGTATGTAGGAAGTCGAGGCATAGATGCATGGACTCACCCCTGGAACTGCTGTTCTGGTTTAGAGCTGATCAACAGAGAGCTCAAGGAGCTGAGAAGGACTCCTCCATGTGCCTCATTTTATAGATAACAAGTCTTAAGACCAGAAAGGTTCAATCAAGATCAAGGTCAAGGTCACACAACAGTGGGCAAATGAAACTCAGTTTATGATATCTAGAAGCTGATGGACTACAGAAACTTCAGAGAAGAATCAATTCCAGACCTCCTGATGCAGTATTCATTATGACATCAGATATCACTTCTTTGACTTACTAATATTCTTCTGGGTCTCAGGAAAGAAGAATGTTACCTGTCCTCTGATGGTTGGTAGCCAGGTCCAGAAGAGTGTGGCCCTGGTCTCATGTTGAGTTGGATTCCACTCCTTGGTCCTATATTTCACTATGACTTTGGGTCAAGTTATTTTCCTTCTCTGAGCCTATGTTTATGAAATAGAGGTAATAAAATAATGGTAATAGTGATAATAACTGCCTCACAGGGCTTTGAAATCATGCATGTAAAGTGTGTCTGGCAGAGTTGATGTTTAGTAAATGTCAATCCTGGTTCTTGCCCTGAACTTCGAGTAGAAAGGGCTTCCACTTTATGTACCTTACCTAATTACTGAAGACAATTTGTAATATTAAATGGGGTACATATTAACTACATGTTAGTAGTTTTCGATTTCAGACTGTAGTGACATGCTGAAATGAGCAGCAAAGAGCAAATGGGTTATAACTGCTAAGCCTCCAGCCGTCTGTGGATCCTGGGTGACAATAGCGAGCACTTGAAACCACAATGATAAAGCAATACAGAAATGTACCAACAGCTTTGAGAGGTGTGAATAGAGCGTATTGAATTTGAGTCAAAGAGAATTATTCTGCCATTATATAAAAGGACTAGCAGAGTCTCATTTAGAATATCATTTTCAATTCTTATCACTTTGGTGTTAGAAGGATATTGTAGCAATGGATAAAGCAAAGCAAAAGCAATGAATGTGCTTCAAGAATTCAGTGAGCTTGGTGGTCTGGAAGAGCCGAAGGATCTAGGCTTGTGTTGAGGAGAAGGGAGAAAAAGGGGGTGTTCCTGAGGCCCATCTGACTCCTCGGAAGACAGAAAGAGTCACTACCGCAGAGCGACTGCTTTTGTGCTTATGAGAGAAAGAATGTTGCGGGGGAGAAACTAGGTCTTGTGCAACTTATAAGCAATTCCCAAAGATTCTCGGGTTTGTCTACTTGGTGAGTGGGTTTCCCATGGCTGCCACATCAGAGTACCACAAAGTGGTTAACTTAAATCTATTCTGTCATAGTTCTGGATGCTGGAAGTCTGGATCAAGATGGCAGCAGGGCCTGGTCTCTCTGAAGACTCAAGGGCAAAATCCTGTCTTACCTCTAGCTTCTGGTGACTGTTGGCCATCTTTGGCATTCCTGGATTCCAGCTACATCACTTCCTTCACCGCCTCCATGGCCACAGGACTTTCTTCTCTAAGTCTGATTCTGTGTGTCTTCCTGTAAGGACACAAGTCATACTGTATTAAGGACCCATCCCACTCCAGTGTGACCTCATCTTTTTAGTCACATCTGTAATTACCCTATTTCCAAATAATATCATATTCCAAAGTTCCAGGGCTTAGAACTTGAGCACATATTTTGAAGGGGGCAGGAAATTCAACTTACAGAGATAATTTGCAAAGTTGTCCATTGAAAATGATTGCTCTCTGCTACCAGGAAAGTAACTATGCAGATTTTTGGCTGTAGGATTTTTTTTTTAACCTTTATTTGTATGTGTGTGTGTGTGTGTGTGTGTGTGTGTGTGTGTGTAAGTGTGTAAGAGAGAAATTCAAAACATTTCCACTAAGATCAGGAACAATGCAAAAATGTCATCTTCCCTGCCTTTCACTTTCAACCATAATTCCTAGCTAATGCAATAATATAGAAAAAGGCTGGGGAAGAAAGAAATCAATCTTTGTTCACAGATGACATTATTTTCTATGTGAAGGATCCAAAAGAATCCAAAAAGAAAAAAAAAAGAAGAAAAAAAAGAAAATAAACAAAATAACCCCACCTGGAACTAAAAAGTGATTTTACTAAGGTTGCAGGATTCCTATAGGTTTAATATATAAAAGCCAATTTTTTTCTTATATATTAGTACTGGACAAGTAGAATTTGAAATTAGAAACAATATGTTAGCACAAAAAAGAAAGAAAGAAAGAAAGATTTAGATTAGATTAGGTTAGATTTTAACCTAACCAAAAATATAATCTGTATAAGGAAAATTAGCAAACAAAACTAAATAAATGAAGAGGTAATTCCATGTTCATGGATAGAAAAGTTTACTGTTATCAAGATGCTAGTTCTTCTTGAACTATAGATTCAAGGCAAATCTACTCAAATTCGCAGAAAGTTATATTACAGATTTTGACAAACTGATTCTAAAGTTTATTTGGAGATGCAAAGTAGCCAACTCAATATTGAAGTAGAAGAACAAAGTTGGAGACTGACACCACACAGCACCAAGATTCGGTAAAAGTTAGTACAGTATTCAGGAAGGTGTGGTATTGAACCACAAATGGAATAGAACAGAGAGCTCAGAAATGGAGAACTTATACGAACATTGCCAATGACCTTGGAGAAACAAGAAAGGACCATACAATGGAGCAAAGATGGTCTTTTCAACAAAAGAACAACAAAGAACAACAAAGAAATGAATCTAAACGCAGGTCTCATACACTTCACAAAAACTAAATCAAAATGGCTCAGAGACCTAAATGTAAGTATAAAACTTCTAGAAAATCACATGGGAGAAAATTTGGATGAACCTGGTTTTGGTGATGACTTTTTAGATATGACACAAAAGCAAGGATCCATGAAAGAATAGATTGATACACTGGACTTCATCAAAATTAAAACTTTCTGTTCTTAAAAATATATTGCAGTATGACAAACAAAAATTTGGAGACAATATTTGCAAAGGACATTTCTGATAAAGGGCTATTATCCAAAAAATACAAAGAACCCTTAAAAATAAACAATAAGAAAATAAAAATCTCATTAAAAATGGGCAAAAGACCTGAACAGTAGTCTCACGGAAGGAGATACACAGATGCCAAACCTACGAAAAGATGATCCACATCATATGTCATCAGAGAAGTGCAAATTAAAACAACACACCCACGCCACACTTATAAGGATGGCCCAAATCCAGAACACTGACCACAGGAAAGTGCTGGGGAGGAGGCTGGCCCCAGGGACTCTCCTTCACTGCTGGTGGGAATGCAAATCAGTGCACTCTGGAAGAGAGTTTGGCGGTTTCTTACAAAGCTAAACATGTATGTTCCAGCAGTTGTGTTTCTTGATATTTACCCAAAAAACCTGAAAGTATCTCCACATAAAAAACCAGCATACAGATGTCTATAGTAACTCTATCCATAATTACAGAAACTTGGAAGCAATCAAGATGTCTTCTAGTGAGGTGAATGTGGTACATTCAGATAAAGCCTTATTATTCAGTGTTAAAAAGTAAAGGTGCTACCAAGCCAAGAAAAATATGGAGGAAATTTAAATGTATCACTAAGGGAAAGAAGCAATCTGAAAGGGGTAATTACTATAAGACCTTCTTGAAAAAGCAGAACTATGGAGATAGTAAAAAGATCAGCAGTTCCCAGGGTTGGAGGAAGGAGAGATGAACAGGTCTGTATGATGGCGGACACATGCCATGAAGCATTTGTCAAAACCCGTGGAAGGTACAACCCCAAGGGTGAGGCCAAGTGTAAACTATGGCTAAAAATGGTGCATCTGTGTAGGTCCATCAGGTGGAGCCGAAGTGATGGGGGAGTTGATGATGGAGAGTCTGTGCGTGTGTGGGAGCAGGGACTATTTTGGAAATCTCTAGCTTCTGCTTAATTTTGCTGTGAACGTAAAACTTCTTAAAAACAGTCTTTTTAAAAATTTTAAGAATATTTTAATTATTTTTTGTTAGGGTGAGAAATACGATGTAAATGACCATTGCACCATTTTAAAATGTAAACTACTGCAGTGTTAACAATATGAAGACCACAGAGCTTCTCAGGGCTGGGTCATATGGGAGAAGACTGAAATGTAGCAAAGTCACCAAGATCTCCAGCAAGATGCCAACCAACTAAGTGCATCAGAAATGCTACTTCACTTTGGGTGAATATTCTGAAAATTGAAGATTAGGCAAGACAACACTCATTTAAAAATTAAAAAAGAAGAGTTGGTGAAAACAGAAGTTGAACGGCATTGGACAGAGGCAGAGGGGCAGCTTTTGGATGTGGAAGAGCAGGCACTGGAGCAGGAAAAGGCTCTGGAAGTATTCTCGGGCTCTGGGGAAGCTCATCCCTCCATGTGGAGCCTCTCCCAGGTCAAAGGGATATAAGGCAGGAGGAGGACAGGAGACTTCCTGCTCTGGTCCGGGTAGGGGCCAGAGGAGATGAAAACGTCTGCTCTAGTGTATTTTCTGATGGTAGTTGAAGTGGTACCAGGGATTGTGAATTTGGTCTAACACAGAGCCCAAGCTGCAATCTCAATGAGCACAAAACCCTCTGGCTTGAAACCTCACCAGAATGTTTCCAAGTCCCGGCGTCTTGCACTCTGCTATGTGTTTCTGTGTCCCTCTCTGGGTCAAAGCTGGCATGTCACTTCACTGGCATTGCAACCTACTCTTCCCTCACCGTGAGCACATTTTCCACAGGGAAGGGGAGGTGGACTCTCAGGTGCACGTGGTTCAGAACCTTTTCATGGAGGGAGACAGGTGGCCAGCTGGCCCCACCCCGTCTCCCTCTTTTCTCTCAGTCCTCTGGCTGTGGCTGCCTGTACTCCGGGTGACTTGCCAATGACACCTACTGGTGCAGCTCATCTCAAAGGCACATACAGCATCTCTGGAGCCCCTACAGGTAAGGGGTGCCATGATGGCGAGTCCTCCTCCAGGGGGCCCAGAGCTTGCCTCCCTCGCAGGAAGCCCAGGGCCGCTGCGGGGCCTCGATTTCCCCTGTGTCCTTACCAGGACACCTCAGTGCCCAGCCCTTGTTGACGCCAGGGGATGCAAATGCAGGCAGAGGAAGGCCTGGCGGCTGGGGCGGGAGCTCAGAGCCCGGCAGAGAGCCTGCAGCCGGGAAGAGGACCTCCGTGGATAATTAATACTGGAGAAACAATGGGCGACAGAGCGCCTCCCTCGAGACGAGGCTGTCAGTCTCCTTATTCATTTATTCTTTTCTAACCAAATTGATGGGCCAGTCTGCTGCCTCCTAGATCCACACGGATGATGAAACTGCAAACAAGTTTCATTTAAATAATGGGCAAATCTTCCAATTAGTCAGAGCCTATCAGAGCCTAATCCTTGTGCCTTAAAAATGACAAACTGCTCTCTCTACTGCCTGTTTGTTGAAAACATAAAATAGGGGGAGGGGGACCCAAATGAAAACACTGATTGAAAAAAATTTAGATGCACAGATTAGGCTACATATTAATCTTGGGAGAACTTTACAAAGTCAATAATTAACATGAAGAGTCATCAGTCAATATTTAAAGACTAATTAAAAACGTATATAGTCTTATTCCTAGGGTATATGAATTTTTTTTAACAATTGAAGTATGTTAATTACCCTATAAAGCCAAAAAGGAGTTTTAATAAAAGGATGATTGTAGGTGATGCAAATAAACAGACATTTAAAAATAAGCACCTTAAAATTAATTTATTAGCTGTATGTTTAAATGTTTCTGACACTGATGAAGGTAAATGAATCTTCTACTGGATACATATTTGAATCCTTGTTCAGAAATCATTCCTAGGTATGTAAGAATAAATCACATCCAACATATTCATTCATTATTCCGTCACATATCCAGCAAGCATTTATTGAACACTTATTGTGTAGCAGGCCCTCCCAGAGGAACTTGTCCAAAAATAAGAAATATCTGTCTTCAAGGAGATTGATAGGTAAATAAGCAATTGTCATACGTTAAGTTGTCCAAACTCTTAATGTAGTGTTTCTCAAACTGCGGCAAGCATAGAGATTGCCTTGAAATCTGATTAAGATGCAGATTTGGTGTAGGTTTGCAGTACAATCCAGCTTTGACATTCCTCACATGCTCACAAGTGATGCTGAGGGATATTCTTTGAGGGTAAGGTAAGCAGAGATAGCCTCTGGGATTCGGTGGAAGAAGGAGAGGTGGACCCTCAGCTCTGTGGGGAATGGGCTGGACTGGGCCAGATCCAGAAATGGCCTCTTGGAAGAACATATAGGTGAACCAGGAGGTGAAGTGTGAGCTGGAGGGAGCCTGGTCAGAATTGGGGAGTGTGTGCACCTTCTGTCCTCAGTCCCAGAGGTCAAAGAGCCCTGTGTCTGTGTTTGGAAACTGCAGTTCAGTTGAGATGGCTGGTACACTGTGGGTTTTCAATTGCACACACCAGTAAATTTACTCCACTCTCTTCCTTTTTTTTTCTAATCCCTGACCCCTTATTTCCTTGAGCTAGTTGAAATTGATTTCCAGACTTCTGAATAAGGGGTGCATTGGAAAGATTGTCAATCGACAAGATTATCAAGTAGTCAGGGGCCACAAGAAGTGTCGTGTGCCTTTCCAAGAGGACTGAATGATCTCAATCTCCATAGGAAGAACTTGGAGACTTTCAAGAGTCTTGAACAACCAGTGTTGTGTGTGTGCACGTGTGCATGCACACACTTTAAGCTTCAACCCCAAACCAGGGAGTGGCTTTGCTTGTGTTCCGTGTGGACCTAGGAATTCACGGATCCATGTAGAGAGCCATGGTTAGCAGACGTGGAAGCTGGAGACCATGTCACACCAGGCCACCCAAGCCATCTCACTTCTCATTGGTGAAATCTCTTTTGTTTCACACTTTAAAAAATGTTTCCATCTGAAAATTTTGACTTTCCTTCACCAAAGACCTTCTGTGTCCTCCGCCCCCATCAGTGTAAGTTTTCCTCAAATACCATTAAAGAAAAAACAAAACAAAAACCACTGTCTTGACTAGGATCTCTCAGTGACTCATTTCTGGTTAAAATGTGTAGTCCAGCCTCACAGCCGGGCACTTCGCGCTCCCCTCGGATGACGCCTCCACGTCCCCTGCCCAGGGTCGTCCCTTAGCATGATGCATTCCAAGTCAGCGGTTTTCCTTTGCTGTCCCTCCTCTGATTCTTGTCAAATCCTCTCTTGATTTCCCACTTCTTTCTCAAGTCCTGGCTACTACTGCTACTAGTGGACATCTGCTGAAAGCCTGCCACAAAACTCAGTATTGGGCAAAGTACCGTGCAGCCTCAATCTTCCAGAGCATCCGGTGGAGGTGTTGCTCTATAGGCTGGGAAAACGGGGCCTCGTGAGCTAATGTTCTCACCTGAAGACCACACAAGAAAAAGTGCAGAGCCAGAATTCAGAATTCAAGTTTAGGGCCGTGTCGGGCTGGAGCAGGGGCTCTTGGCCACCGTCCACTCTCCTCTCTCCTGCGGCAGGACCCGCCTGGCTCACAGCAAGGCCTGTAGGAAAGGTCTTTTCTGTGTTTTATTCACGCTTTGTTCCTCTGTCCTTCACAATTTAGCTCTCAAGAGGCTTCCTCATCTAAAGCACCCCATTCTGATTATTCCATAGCCTCTGCTCCCTCTAGCATGACATCGGGGTTTGGTCTTGCACCCTAGCCCTGTCATGTCATTGTTGATCCCTGGTTTTGTGTCTGTCATGCCTTATCTTTTCACCTCTACTGTGTTTTTAAATATCTATATGCTGCCTGTATCCATAGGTGTCCAACACTTGTCAAATAAATGACTTCACTTTCTAGCATGTTCTCTAGGCTGATACTTCCCCCCCCCACATATATTAAAACACACATATTTCATCTGTATAGGCTTGCACTGAGTGGGGTGCTTCTCAGGGTAGAATCCACAGACCCTGGGGGATCCCTTACACCATTTAAGCAGAGGGAAAACTCAGTGGGGGAGGAGTCAAAATATTTTCAGCACATTAAATGTCATTGGACTTTTTTAACTGCATTGACAATGATGGCACAAATGCAATGATGGGATAAAACTGCTGGCGCCGGAGTATGGACCAAGTCACTGGTCCCAGACTGTGCTACATGAACAAACCAACCAACCAACCAACCAGTGCCCGTCTCACTGAAGAATGGCCTTGATACGGCAGTAAAAGTGATTAATATTTTTAAACCTTAGACCTTGAGCACACATCCTTTCATCATGTGGGGAAAAGCAGGAAGGGTCCCCACGATGCTTCTGCTGTAGGGTGCCGTGAGGGGGTGTCTGGAGGGCAAGTCGTCCTGTGATGGAGTTGTGTGCTGAACTAGCTGCTTTTTTCATGAAACTCTGTTTTTAACTTGAAAACATCTGACAGACAGACTGGTTATTCAGACCTGGGTCTTTGGCAGACATTTTCTTTTAAAAAATGAATGAAGGGAGCCTGTCACTTCTAGGAAAACAACTGACAGCGTTTGCTGCCAGAGAGCTTTCAAGCAAAAATTAGAGTTTTGGAAAACTTGTATCCAGCACTATGAGACTGACAGCTTCCCAAGGCTTCAAGATGCTTCGGGTGAGGCTGATGGTGATATTAATGCACTTGAGTTTTGTTTTGCTGTTATGTAATGTATGTCAACAATTGGAAGACTTGCATAAATTAACGAAGTGATATTTTCCAAGTGATCAATGCACAAGGAAAAAAATTTATTTCAAAGTGAAGAATAGATGGATGGATTTTAATATAACCAGCAGGAGAAAGTTTATCAATGTGGTTTCAGATTCCATAAAACAACTAACCTCTGAGAAGCTAAACTTGTTGAGTCTTGTCATACTATAGACGAATATCCACAATTACCAGAGAAGGCTGTAAAGTACTCTGCCCTTTTCCAACTATATATCTGTGTCATACTGCATTTTCTTCTTATGCATCAACCAGAACAAAAATCTCAGCATATTAAATGCAGAAACGAAAATGAGAATTCAGCTATGTTCTATTAAACCAAAGAGTGAAGACATTTACAAAACTATAAACAATGCCATTCTTGTGACTGTATTCTTCTCCAGAAAATAGCTGCTTTTCATAAAATTATTTGTGACAACATGCATCAGATTTATTGTTGTTTTTAAAAAAAGAAGTAATAAATATATTTTTTTAAATTATCAGTTTAAATTTCCAATATATTAAAATTTAATACCTACAATCCTTATGAACAAAAGCATTTTGGGGCCCTCAATGTTTTTATAAGTTTGAAATGGGAAACCAAATCTTTTGAGAGCTATTGTTAAACACAGCTGTGGAGACAGCGTTGCAAAGGAGAAGTGCCATTGCTTCTCTTCTTTCTTGAAAAACTGTCCTCAACATCTACCTAGTTGATCTATAACCTGGTCCCTGTTGGCTCCTCTTCCTGAATATGGTAAAGATTCACCCACTTCTCTCCATCTCCATCTTCTCTTCCACCATCACAGTCTAGGTCACAGGAGGAAGGAAACTGGCTGTTTTAGTCAGCTCTTTCACTGCTGTGACTAAAGGACCCTCCCAGAACAACTATAGAGGAAGGAAAGTTTACCTGAGGGCTCAGGATTTCAGAGGTCTCTGTCCATAGACAGCAGGCTCCATTCCTTAGGGCTTGAGGTGAGGCAGAACATCATGGCGGGAGAGGGTGGCAGAGGGAAGGAGCTCATATGATGATCAGAAAGCAGAGAGGGAAACTCTACTTGCCAGATTCAAAATGTATACCCCAAAGCCACTCCCCCAATGCCCCACCTTCTCTAGTCATACCCCACTGGCCTTCAGTTACCACTCAGTTAATCCCATAAGGTGATTAATTCACTGATTACGTCAAGGCTCTTGAAACCCCATCATTTCTTCTCTGAACCTTCTTGCATTGTCTGACACGTGAGCTTTTGAGGGCACCTCACATCCAAACCATAACACTAGCAAAATATCCCAGGTGTTTTCATGCCTCCCCATATCCAAAACCCCAAATAGTTTCCTCCTATGTTAAATCTCACTCTAGACTTGGCTATGTGGCTTCCATGGCAACAGGATTTAGGAAGAGTCTTGACAATCACCAGAGTTGGGACTTGGTCTCACTGACTGCTTTTGGAGTTTTACAATTGCCATGATATGAACACACCTGGCCACTGACAGAGGTGTGACTCAGTCTCCTTTATCACTTCCTTAGCTTGGTATCTGGAAATTGACTGTAAATAGGTACATCAGTGAGCCCAGCTCAGACCAGCAGAACTACTCAAGTGAACCCAGCCTAAGTTTCTGAACCACAGGAGTTCATGCTAAAAAATGGTTGTGCTTTAAGCCTCTGAATGTTTGATTTGTTATTGTTTTGGTGTTGGGGGCACTTTGTTAAGCAGCAGGTGCTAACTGATACACCACCATCATTCCCTGTCTGGGTTACTACAGTGTTCCCTTCATTATCTCCTACCTTCTAATCTCTCTCTTCCCACTTCTGGTTTCTTTTTCATGCAGTCACTAGAAGGATCTTAGATGAAAACTTCCAGTGGCCCCTCATTATCCTTGGAGTGAATTGTGAGCCCCATAGCTTGGTCG